CCCCTCAGGGAAAAGGGCGGCCTATAAATAAACTTATTCTAATTCTAATTCTAATTCTAATTTATGGCACCAGTTATTCAGTGGATTCAGTACTTGATGTTACTTCCAACTGATGATCAAATTGTTTACAGATATAGGTTACAGTATATAAATGATTATGAATGATGCTGATCCTTTATTGAAAGTGCCGTATTTGTATAAACATGTATGAGAAGTCTTTATATGTCTCTTTGATGTTCGGCCTCCCTCCCCCCCACTTTATTATTTTTTCCTTTTCCCATTCTGTTTAATTAATTAAAGGCATTTTTGCAGAGTACATTTGATATAAGTGAGAGAATTAACAATGTGCCTAAATCCTCCACTGAAATAGAATTAAAAGGACACAATTATATTTGAACAATTTCTTTTGTGTGATTTAATTTTCAGGTTTTTTTTCAACAAGGTTGATTTCTTTACAGTGATTATATCTATACCAAGTGAGAGATAAATTTATGACTCTGGAAAAAAGAGGTTAATTCATTTATGTAAAAGCTGTAGTTTAGACAGTTTGCTAACACTTTGTACCATAATCTTTGTAGGAAAGCATTAAGCTTTTTAATAATTCTCAAATTAAGAAACGTCATGTGTTAGACAAATGAGAGGTTTCAAATATCTTGTGAAGAGCATGAAAGAGAATGGAACAAAAATTGCTATTGAGGACAAGATCAGTTTCACGAGCATGGCTTCCTCTGCAATAATAATAAAAGTTATTTATTTGGTTGATGGAAGGACTGGGGCATTCTATATAATAAGTGTTAATATCTTCTACCAAAATTAAATAATAATGTAATTGTAACAAACGAAGGAAAAGAAAAATGTTTAAACTGGACTATATAGACAGCTGGAATGTTTTCCTGCAGAATGACAATACAGGTTAATACCATTACATTCTGAATGTGCAGGTGAAAAAATAGCAGCTTGTAATAAAAAAAAATATTTCAAGCACTTTCATCTAAATAAACTTGCATTTTGACTGTTTCATTTTTTATACAATATCATGTTTGAAAATTAAATGCTTGGAGTGCTTTAAATCCAGTTTTGTAATGTGAAGAAAGGAATATTGTACAAAATTAACCACGTAGAGGATATTTTAATGCTTTTATTATTGTGGTTGGTGCTATTTTTAAACCTTGTGTAAATGTACTTCTAGATTCATAGTTACAATATTTTGCTTTTTCTGTAGGGAGTATAAGAACAATATCAGGAAAGTTGATGAAGGTGTACAAGAAATTGTTTCGTTGGTTGAGGACTTCTATGGAAATGATGGCAGCACAGCCTTTATCTTAACATCTGACCACGGAATGACAGACTGGGGTGAGATTATGTTTCACTATAAAGGTTCAGCTCAGAAAATCTTTGTCCATTGTGTCATTCCATGTTTTGGAATGCTGGCTGGGGAATTCTGGGAGTTGAAGTCCAGACATCTTCAAGTGGCCAAGGTTGAGAAACACTGATCTAAAGAAATGAAGTGCCTGAGGCATCTGTAGGAATTTGAGTAAACCTTAGTTTTAGGTTGTTGGTTGGTAGTAGTAGATACATAGAAATACTTTATGAATAATTGAAGATCCAGATTGGGGCAATCCTTCAGAAGCTCAAGGGCAGTTGAGGGTAAACTGCGAGGCAAAAAAGGGAGAGTTGCACGAAGACATAATTTGAGTGGTATAGAAGCTGCAGACTACACTCTAGATCAGGGGTGTCAAACTCAACGCCCGGGGCAGCCCATTATCGCTGGCAGAGCTCTTGAGTCATCACAGGCACCCCTGACATGATTGACGTATAGCTGGCCACCCCCACCCCGCTTCCCGAGGTCAAACACAACGCTGATGCGGCCCTCGAGTTTGACACCCCTGCTCTAGATGAACGGAGCAGAGAAATGGTATTCAAAGCCAGCATTTTAAAAATAAAAATAATAAACAAAAAACCTACAAGAAAAAAACACCCTACTTGGAACAACTTATATCTTCCGACGTTACCTTAACAGTTCCTAGGTCCTTGGTTAGGACTCGAGCTGTTGAGCTACCAGCCAGCCCCAAAGGCTGTGAATCTCACCAAAGATTAACCATATAATAATAATAATAATAAAACAACTTGATTTATTTTCTGTATGTTTAGGGACTCATGGAGCAAGTCATCCATCAGAAACATTAACACCTCTAATTGCTTGGGGAGCAGGAATCAAATATCCTCAGGCAGTTACCTCACAGCAATATGAAGATATATTTTTTAAAGGTAAATGTAATTACTGGTGTAATACCTATAATTACCATTTTTATACATACATTATTAAAAGACAGTTTTTAGTTTTATTAGCTGCTTCTACTGTTACATTGATAAAATCCTCATTAAATGAATGGGGAATAAAAGTTTACTAGAAACCATTACGTTTATATGAATTCTCTCACTGCTCAAAAACATTTGAGCCACTGTTTCTCATATTCATAATGCAAACCCTCCTTTGCAGAAAATAAATTTTACTTGAAACTTTTGATTTGTGGGCCTGATTTTATGAGCCACGTGTAGTTTTAAACAAGGCTAGTTTGGTTCCTTGTCATCTTTATTCAAACCTAATTTAATAGATTATTGCATTTAAATTAATCGTAAATTACCAGATTTTTAGGTAACGTTAATTTTTCTTCATGATGCCTGAAATCCACAGCATTCTTCTTGCTTGCCCAGGTATCCTGCTTCCCACATTTAATCTTCACTTTGCTCATATTGTTTAACATCATACCTTCTGTGAATATGAATCATTCTTGTTTCCAAGGCTGATTTTCGTAGATTGGAAATGTGAGGGATAATTAAGATTAAAATTAACTGCATAGTGTAATAATCCAAGCTAAAAATAGGCGTATCCTCCACCACTTAAAAGGGCACATTAATTGAAATGCTAAGATGGACATAACATTATCCAAGTGTAAGAAATTACTCATAGATGCTGTACTCATTAACAGAACCAGTCATCTCGGGTTAAACCAAGTATTCAGGTCATCTTTGCAATGCTGGTAGTGTTTTTGGAACTAATAAAATAAATAAAAAATGAACATAGCAAGCATATAGTTCTAAATAGAATTTTATGTAATATATCTGGGATGGAAAAAATCTTCTTTGTTAAAGAGACCATTGGCTGTTTAATGGTAAATTAACTAGTAATCTGGATTTGGGCAATGAGCCACAGAACTATGGCCAGATTGGTTAAAAAATGCATGATTTTAGAATATGTTGAAACTCTCTGCATTAACTGTTTCTGGAATCAATTCCCAGTTTATATTATTTAGTATATTCATGTGGCTGCCCATCCACCTTGAAGTAGATTACCTGCTAAACCCTAATCAGTGATTTAACGAGATATAGCTCTCTGCCCAAGAGAAGGTCTTGGATATTCTGATGTGTAACTTTTCCTTTGTGATTCTTATTAAAGTGATTTGTGCTCCCTTGAGTAAATTTCTTAATACTATATTCTGGAACTGAAGCACAAATATATTTGAATGTGAAGAAAAAGGTTATCAGAAGAATAAGCTTATAACTGCTAAGTATCAAAAAAGTTATCTTTTCCCCTCATAAATTATCATTTTGTTTTCTTCATTTACAGAATGGAAGCTGGAGATGTGGAGGCGCCAAGATGTGAATCAGGTATCTGGTTGCTTCCAACCCCTTGTTTCTATTAACTTACTTTATTTTAAGATGGTGGAAAGAAACATAATTATGATAATAAGTTATATTAACATGGGAGTCCCCTCTGCCTCCAGTTTTTTTTTTATGCCTGCCTTCCTGTCTGCCTGCCTTTTATCTAATCTATCTCGCAGGTTTATTCTCTTTGATCGCTGTTTTATTCATTGTTTATAGCCAAAATATAAAATGGGTTTACCCGCTGATAGTATATACATGGCCCATGCTTTCAGCACAAGAACTGCACTATAGTGGGAATATTATATCTGTAATACCCTTCCTGATTTCTAAAGCTACATTGCTTGCTCATCCTTTGTTACCGATATGGAGACAATTTTGTTTGCAGACCATTTTTTGTCATAATATAAGTTCCTATCAGTGATGCGTTTCAAAATTTTTTAGAACCTCTTCTGTAAGTGTGGCCTGCTTTGTGGGAGTGGCTTGCTGGCCATGTGGCCCAGTGGGAATGGCTTGGCAGACTGGGTGGGCATGGCCAACTTGTAAAATGTGGTGAAAATCACTTAACAACGCTCTTGCTTAGCAACCAAAATGTTGGCTCAGAAACTCTAGCATTTGAAGCACTTAAATCTTAAAGGGGAAGGAGCTGGAACCAGTTCTAAATGGCACGGTAGATTTGTGGAACCTCTTCTATAGAAGAGGTT